AGCAGCACAGAATCACCGGTATCTGTGAATCTGAAGATGTCGTTAAAGACCTTCAGCAGGGCAGTTTCAGTGCTGTGGAGAGGTTTAAAGCCAGATTGGAAAAGCTCTAAGATGGCGTGACCCTCCAGGAAGCACTTCAACTGGGACTCGACTATTTTCTCCAGTACTTTAGAAACAAATGGGAGTTTGGAGACAGGCCGGAAGTTGGAAACGACTGAGGGGTCAAGGTTTGGTTTTTTCAGGAGAGGCTGGACAGCAGCATGTTTAAAGGATTTTGGCACCACACCAGTGGATAAACTACTGTTTACTATATCAAGAATGGACGGACCTAGAGTTGGAAACACCTCCTTTAGTAGTCGAGGGGGGACCACATCAAAGGGGGAGCCAGAAGGTTTCAAGCTGCACATGACCTGCTCTAGAGAAGATAGAGTGATGGGTTCAAAATGGTCAAAAGGAGCTACAGGTTGAGGTGGGATGGATGGGTCATGAGTTGGAGGGGAAATGAGAGCCCTGGTGGTCGCAATTTTTTCCACAAAGAAATGTAAGAAGTTGTCGCACAGCTCAGTCGAGGCTTCCATAGGTGATGGTTCAGGTTCAGTGAGGTGGAGAACAGAGTTTAGGGTGGAGAAGAGGACACGTGGGTTGTGAGAGTTTGAGGTAATTATATCAGAGAAGAATTTGGATTTAGCAGCTTTTACTGTTTTCTGATAACGGCGCCAACTCTCTTTAAGTATCTGGAAAGAGACCTGCAGCCTGTCTTTCCTCCACTTTCGCTCCGCCCTCCTACATTGCTGCCTAACGGCCTTGGTGACGTCACTCAGCCAAGGTTCTGCTCTGAGTTTTGATTTTTTTGGTTTTAACAGGTGCAACATGATCCAGAGTCTTTAAGCAGACAGAGTTGAACTGGGATGTCAGCTCCTCAGTGGTGGTGAGAAACACTGGGGGCTGAATGATCATTTCAGAGTTATAAACATCTGTGAAACGTGCAGCAATGAAGTGGTTAATGGTCCGAGTGCGACGTGCAGGAATGCACGACTTAGGAGTTAGTTGGGGGAGGGTGAACTCAAACTGGACTGGCATGTGGTCTGAAAAAACATTATCACCAATAACAAGATTATTAACAGTCACATCATGAGTTAAAACAAGGTCCAGTGTATGTCCACACTCTTGGGTGGGACCGTTTACATGCTGCGTTAAATTAAATGAGTCCAATAGATCTAAAAAGTCCTTAACCAAGGGCTTCTCAGGACAGCACACGTGCAAATTAAAGTCCCCAATAATGAAAACATGCTCATATTTTGGTGTGATTTCAGCCAAGAAGTCAGAAAACTCATTTATGAAATCCTTAGATGGAGGTGGGCGGTAGACGAGTGCAAATAACGTCGCAGGTGAATGTCCGAGTTCAAAGATGCTCAGCTCAAAGACGCTCAGTTCAAAGACGCTCAGCTCAAAGCTGGAGCGGGAAACTGGGATAGGCAGTTGTTTACAGTCAAAAGTTGATTTGAATATTGTTAATAATCCACCACCGCGCCGGCCTGATGGCTGTGGGGCGTTAAAACACAGACAGTTCGGTGCCAGTAATTCCGTCAATGCGCTGGACTCACCTGGAGACAGCCAAGTCTCTGTGATGCACAGAAAGTCCAAATCGTGCTCTTGAAAGTAATCCCTGAGGATAAAAGTTTTGTTGGTAACAGATCTTGCGTTGACCAAACACATCCGGATATTGTCTTAAGTGGAGCCAGCAGTGGTGGAGTTAGCGCGCGCTAATGGCTGCAGGTTTTCAATAACAGCCCCTCCAGGTCGGTCCGAGCTGCGCACCGGCTGACAACTCCCGCTGGT